AATAGCATGCAGCTGTTTGGACAAGATGTGACTTGTCGTTTCCGCAATTACGAGCCTGCTTCCATGCGTCTCTTGCGATCAACTCATCGGCGTGTGAACTGACCCCTTCGAACACCTTTCCTACAGCCTTGAAGAGTGCGGCTCGAAGGCCAGTATGAGCCTGTGAAAACTTGACCAGGCCCAAGAGGGACTTTGCAGCCAATGGCGACAGTTGTATGGCGCTGTCTCCTGCCGCCTCGAACATGGCACCCAGACAATGTGCAGCCGCGTGCTTTGCCCTAACATCTTTCTCGGTTTTACCCGCAGCATTCAATATAGCGACCGACTCATTGATAGACTCAAAGAGCAGCTTCCTGTCCCCCTTTTCGAATATACCACCAATCGCTCGTCCAAGGTTGTTTCGGATTACGCGCGTGGGTGCGGGGGATGCGAGGTTGATGATTTGGAATATCTCCCTCTTGAGGTAGATTTGGTGTGCCGATGCGCCGTCGCCATCTAGGGAGTCGACATGACGGGCAAGGTCGGCAGTGAAGGTTAGCAAGTAGAGGTCTTGCTGCTCCGAGGGGAGGGCGTGGAGTTTCTTGATGTCGAGCTCGGGGTTGGACGAGGCTTCGGCGATGGAATGGACGTCTGCTGCCATGGCGTCGTGAGGTTCGTGCGCCTTCCTTCTCGTGTGGTGAAGTTATCGGAACCGGCTACTCATGTCATGGTCGGGCTATCTTGACAGATTAGCGGGTGTGGAGATGCAAGTGGGTGCATGTGAGTTGCGGACCCCCGTCCTTGGCAGGCACGAGAATCGTCAACTTTTTGGATTGACGTTTCATGACTAAACTATCTCGGCCGCCATGTCAGCCTCATTGCGCCGGACAATCTTGTCTGCTATTTCGAGTGATAGTGTGCTGAATTGCACCTGTCGTAATGTCTCACGTGCAAATAAGTGGCGCATACAAGAGCGGGTTCGATGTTTGAGTACCTCCCCGCAATTGCAGTCAGGTCACTCGTAAGTAGCCTTGGTTTGGCATGTATGAGTGTGATTGACAGTTTGTATACAGGAAATGGGCGACTATCAAGCACGACAAAGCGAAGAATGACGCTGGAAAATCCAAGCAACGGTCCCTCATGACCCGCGACATCACAAATGCCGTCAAACTCGCCGGCCCAAACCCCGACCTAAACCCTCGCCTCGCTCTTGCCATTGCTACCGCGAAGAAGTCAGCCGTCCCAAAAGCATCTATAGAAGCCGCTATAGCGCGAGGTCAGGGTCTCTCTGCCTCTGGTGCTGCCCTAGAGTCGCTCGTTCTAGAGGCTATCCTCCCACCTTCTATCGCCACGATAATAGAATGCCAGACGGATAATAAGTTGCGCGCGCTGGCCGACATGCGCTTGCTTGTGAAAGAGGCAGGTGGCAGCGTCTCTACAGTAGCCTTCATGTTCGAGAAGAAGGGGCGCATAATAATACGGAAAAAAGACGGCATGGGTGTTGATGAATTACTCGAGCCAGCGCTAGAAGCTGGTGCGTTGGATGTGGATGAAGACGCGGACGGTAGGGTGGTACTGTACACCGAACCCGCAATGACAAACAAGACAGCCGACAAACTGGCAAAAGAGCTGGATCTAGAAATCGAGGAGAGCGAGGTCATTTACGACCCGAATGAGGATACCAAAGTCCCCTTGGAGGATGAGGCTGCGGCACACGCCTTGAACAAGTTTCTGGACGGGCTACAGGAAGTACAGGGTGTACAAGGCGTATATATGAATTGGACAAAGGGTAGCATCGGAGACGAGGTGTGGGAAGAGCTGAGCAGCAAAGTAACGACATGATGCCCTCCACTCTACATAGAATTTGTATCATAAAACATTGTACAATACTGTACATAACATGATCCATGGGCGAGCGGCGCACACGGGCGAGCGGCGCACCCCACCAACTTTTGCAACTTTAAAGCGATGCATCTCAACAACGCGATAATATTATTGCTAGATATTGATACAGTAGATTACTCTATATTAATAGTATCAGTCTTGCATGTGCGCGAGTTGTGCCCAGTCTCCTTGCACCTAGTGCAGCGCCTTTGAGCCCGCTGGCTGAGGCCTGATCGCGCTCCTCCTTGACGCTCTTCATGAGCAATCTGCTGGTCAGCCTCATTTTGAGCCAGTATATCCTCTCCAGCTCCCTTTGTGAGTACTCCATGCTTCTGTATACGCCTTTTAGAGCGCCGCCTACGCTCTGAGGCTGCGCTATTGGCCTTCTCAAGACTAGAGATCCGATCGCGCATCAGCTCAGCAGAGAGCATCATCACCTCGGCGCCCTTCTTTAGCTGGTCAATCGCCATAATAATTGAAGCTGGTGATGAGCTCTTGTGCTGGCGCACGCGCTCACGTATTAGGCTTGACTGAGCCTCAAGCTCACGCGCGTTGCTCGGCGTTTGAGCTACCCAGGGAGCCTCTGGCAGAGCTGCTGGAGGAGTAGGTGTACGCAGTTGTACATCTACCTTTGATAGAACAGCCTCTGGTTGTAGAGGAACAAGGCCTGCGCCGCGGAAGGCTGAGCAGATATTGGCTGGCGTGAACGCTTGATCAAATGCTGCCTTGAACGCTGGCAGAAACTCTAGCTTGGTGATGTGGTTGATGTGGTTGCGCATAAGGCTCTCCACCTCACGGCTGTACGCGCGCTTCAATGGCGAGAAGCAGCCAACATCAAGTGGCTGGAGTAGGTGAGATGAGTGAGGAGGCATACAGAGCGTATGGATATTGTTCTCCTTGCAGAGCTCCTGGAACTCTAGAGATTGGTGGCTCTTATGGCCATCAATAATAAGCAGGCGACGCGCGCCTACACTACGAGCCTGCGTGTGAGCGTTGAAGTGCTTTAGCCACTCAACTCCAAGCTCATTATTCGTCCAGCCATTATCGCTGACTGCGATCGCCCAGTCGCGTGGGATCTCAGCTTCCTTATACCAGGCTGATAGGTGGTACTGGCCAGCGAAGATGAGGAACGGTGGGACTGACCAGCCAGCAGCGCTGATAGCAGCGATCAGCGTTACCCACTCGCGATTGCCTGGCTGAATACTCTTCGGCCTGCCTCTCCTCTCTGCTCCTGTTATAACTAGCTGCGTTGTAATCTTGCCCATCATAAAGCCAGCTTCATCAAAGTTGTAGACGTCCTCATCGCAGATACCTAGCTCAGCCTTTGTCTCTTCTACAAGCTTAAACCACCTCTTTATTAATGTTGCATCCTCACAAAGAGCTCTCTGCCTATCGTACGCTTGGTTGAAACACGTCCGAAGACTGTCTGTACGCTTAACAAAGGTAGATGGCCAGTTGACTCCAACCTGCTCTCCACCACGCGCAGCCAGCAGCTTATCAGCCATATCACGTACAGCTGTGTAGGTAGGCGCAAATCCACGCAGATCTAGCTGAAGTATATAGCTAATAATCACCTCCTCTTCTCTCTGGGTAAGCTTCCTTGAGTTGGGCGGGCAATCGCGTCGGGCAGGTATACCAGCGCGTCGGCGGCGGAGCGTTGTTTCGGCTACGTTGTAGACTACTGCAGCAGTACGGGTACCTTGGATCTGGTGCGCATTAATAGATGAGATAGCAAGCTGAATATCTGCTTCATTTGATAGTAATTGAGTAGCGCTGCGTTGAGCCATTGTAGATTAAGATCAGTAAGGTGAGTAAAGTTGGTGGGGTGCGCCGCTCGCCCGTGTGCGCCGCTCGCCCGTGTGCGCCGCTCGCCCATGGATCATGTTATCCCATGCAAACTAACATGTCCATGTTGCGATGACGGAGCGGGTTCGGGAGTAACACCCACTTAAGGTAGGCCGATCCCCCGCTAACTAAGCTGTGACTGGGGCGACCAAAATCTCACATCCACATCCACAACTGCAATTCCATCTGAACTCTTCCACTCTCTTCTCAGCACGAGATGGCTGCGCCTAGGTTACCATTCTTATGGCCAATGCTGTTCAAACCAGCGACATCGCCCCGTGTAACCGCCTCAACATGCAAACAGAACGCGTCGCTTCAAAGCCCCACGCGACGAGGGCGCAGACAGCTTACTACCACTGCTCGCCGGTCAGAGCAACCAGTCATTCAGCGATACGGAAAAGCATACGAGCACACCGAACCAGAACTCAACCAAGCGCTACCAAAAGAACCTCAACAAAAGAGCACAGAAAACCCCGCGCAGGACGCCGTTCATGAAGAAGAGGAAGAAGATGCGCCGGCTGCCACAAAAAGTCCATCGACACCTTCCAAAGCCACAATAGCAGAAGAGGCTGTTCCTCCCATCGTACCGCCACCCGAACCTCCCAAAACAGGCGAAAGCAAAACCCTCGATAGCGTTCTCCACATGCCCACAGCCGCCGAAGAAGAGTACCACAAAGCGCCGCACCTCAAAACACCCCCGTATGTCCACCACTTTGACACCTATGGTCTTGTACGAAAGCTGGCGCAATCGTCTTATACGCCCGCTCAATCTATAACTATCATGAAGGCCGTGCGACAGACGCTCCTATCCAACATGGCTCTGGCACGCCAAGGCCTGGTCAGCAAGAGCAATGTTGAGAATGAGACATATCTATTCCGGGCAGCATGTTCGGAACTCAAAACGGAGATTGGAAACGCCAGGAAGGGTGAAATGGAGAGAATGCGCACAGAGAGGGGTCAATTGCAGCATGAAGTCGACATCCTGGGGCAGAGGCTGGGACAAGAGACGACGGCATTGCGGGACGAGCTCAAGGGGCTTTTCGACGACCGAAAAATGGCCGTCAGGCAGGAACAGAGACACATGGAAACGAAGGTCTGCCATCCCATCTTCACAAGAAAGAAACACCACCAGACTGACTTTGTCCCAGATCCAAGAGCTCAACTACAAAATCACAGTCGCACTAAACTCCGACGCCCGCTCCGAAGTCGAAGGCCTCCGCTGGGTCCTCACACGCCGCGCCGCCATCACAGTCGGCGTCTCAGCATTCATGCTCTTCGTCGCTCTCCGCTACACCAGCTACGTCCAGCACCAATTGCAAGAGGAGAAGAGGAAGCAGCCTCCGCACCGCCCGAGCCCCTTGGAAGATATGGCGGACAGCATATCAACGGCAAGTAGACCTGTTCTCGATCCCGCTAGTCCGACAACACAAGACGCATTAGGCGGCGAGCTATTAGCCACAGAGGGTGTGTCTTTGGGATAAATAGAATGCGACCCGTCTATAGTTTGTGTCTCCTCTCCCCCCTCGCCACCCTCCCAAACTCCTCCTGCGGAACGCCCTTGACAAACCTCTCCAACCCCCCCATAACCTCGTCCACATTACTCCTCTCGAAAACCCCCCTCCACGGCCCCTGAATCAGCCTCTTAATCCCCACCACACTCTCCCCATTCAAGCCCTCAAAACTTTCCCTCACCTCCTGCATCACCAGCCCCAGAAACCTGTCGCTGTATCCCTCCGACCGCTCATCCCCCGCGCCGTCAAACACCTTGTTCACGAACCCCGTTGCTAACAGCTCGGCGCACGTGATGCGCTTACCCAGGATTAACGCTTCGTTCGCTTTGGGCAGACCCAGACGACGCATGAGCGATATACAGGCGGCGCCTTCAGTGACAAGGCCGAGGGATGAGAAGGGCGTTAGGAGGTAGGCGTGGGGTGCGCTGTAGATGAAGTCGCTGTGGGCGATTAGGGCTGCAGAGAGGCCGACGGCGGGGCCGTTGAGGGCGGTGATGAGGATGTTTGGGTGGGTGTGGAATGCGTGGGTTATCTAGTTGTACGATGGTTGGCGATGGGTTAGTTAGGGGGAAGGGGGATAAGGACGTACATGTAGATTCCCAGCAACGAAATTTTTGAGCCATTTTTCTCTCTCTTGCACATCCCCTCCCTCTTTCCTATCCTCTTTCCCATCCCCGGCGCCGGCTCCACTACCAATGGAACTAACATCCGCCCCTGCGCTGAAAAACCGTCCTGTCCCTGTTAACACGGTGATGTAGACATCGTCTCTTGCGGCTACTTCATGCATGGCGCATGCTAGTTGGTGGTAGTGTTGACAACTTGACTAAGAAATCGATCGAGACAAACTCATGCCTAAACATCCAACACAACACTCATCCTAAAAACCCCCCCTATCCAAAATGCCATGCCACCACACAATCGCGTGCAAGCGAACCGACCAACCGACCAGAACCCGCGCTACCACTAGCCCAACTCCAGACGCGAGCGCGAGTGCGGGGTTACTTACCTAACTTACCCTATCCACCCCGCCCACCTACTTAGCGCGTTCAGGAAAAAGATTAGATCAAACGCAAATCACCGACGCCGACACGCCGAACCATCACCGACCGATCCAGTGCTCACAACTTTGTTTGCGCATCGCGCCGCCGCTCGCCGCCTCCAACAACGCTCGTACAAAGCACGAATACACGAGGGGAGTGCTGCGCAACGACAACGACAGCGAAACGATAGCGAAACGACAGAGGCGGTGAAGTAAGCGATAAGGAAAAGGATAGTGAAAGAAAGGACAGAAAAGAACAAAAGGAAAACAAAAATGGCAGGACCCAACCTCGAAGTCTTCAAAGTACACCCATACCCTTCCCTCTTCTACCTCCCCTCTTAAACCCATTCAGCCCACTAACAACCCCACCACACAGTTCGGAATGTACATCCTCTTCCCCATCTCGATAATGTACTACTTCGGCACCAACCTCGATGGCAAATTCACCGTCCCAGACTTCTGGCCTAAACCGGGGCAAACACACAAGATACCGTATGATAGGGATGAGATTGCAAAGGAGCTGGAGAGGTTGAAGGTGAGGAATTTGGAGAATAAGAGGAGGAGGGAGGCGCAGGAGGGGGTGGGTAGGGGGGAGGAGTAGGTGGGGAGGAGTAAGAAGGGTGAGGGTTAAGGGGGGATGGAATGGGATGGGATGGAGAGAGGATGGGGGATGAGGGTAAGGGATACATATCGTGAATTTGGGAAAACCGCATCTGTATAAAACATGGAGGTGGCTGTAGGATATGAGGCATGAATATGGCGTTTTAGTTTCTTTTGGGCAATTGATAACCCCAAGTAAGGTGAAAATGCGACACCGCAAGCTTATGCAATCTATTCTCTATCAAGCTTTTGCTATCTACGACATTGCTCCATTTTCATCGGGATACCCAGATATATAAGGTTATCTTGTTTTCTATTGATGGTCCTGGATTTACGCCACTATTCGATTTTCTACGGACATCCTTAAATCTACGCCTTTACCCAACTACATCCCCCAAAGACTTTTCATGACATGGCACTAAATCGGCTCATTCTTCATCTGCTCCTACGGCGATCACCCAAGCAACAATCTTCTCCCTCTCCCTCCAGATGACCGCATCCCCAATCTGAAGCCGGTATGCACCATTTATATACGTCAAAGCAAGGCGAGCATTCAAATGATCCCCCTGCAACCGATAAAACATGGCCATCCTATACTGCAGCTTCGCAAGGTGCTCAGGGGAAGGAGTGTACTTGTAGTCCTTCATCCAGTAATTCTCCCTCACGGACTTGATCACCATGATCAACGCGTTTTCACCCAAAAGCTCCGGTGCGAATCCCGGCATAGCACCGACCTGCACATGCGCAATGTTGAGCTGCACGAGGAAGTAGATTGCAGCAAGTTGCGAGACGAAGTCTTCGCCTCCACGACGAACCAGCTTGGGCCAGGAAGATGACTGCAGCGGCAAGACCGCTGTCCACATGGCCTTTGATCTGAACGCCCTGAAAGCCGTAGAGGTTATCCGTGAGAGGCTTCAGGAGTGCTTGTTGAGTCTTCTTTGTGAAGAAGTCGTCAAACGAGGGCGATATAGGATCGGCTCGCATGTTTGCCAGGTTGGGCGCTATGGTAACGGACATTTTCAACTTGGAGATTAGCCCCGTTGCGTGTGCTTCCAAGTATTTGAATGCGTTCCAGACTTTGACTAGGTCGTCCAGGCAACCCACCGTCTCGTAGTGCTCGACCCTTGGAGTCGAGGTCTATAGCAAGCTATAGCAAGTACGTATCCCTTGAAGTTGTTGACAGCACGTTCGTTTGCAGAAACTAATGGAGCTTGGTATCCACTGAGCGCAGCTGGCAGTGGAATGCCCTTGACCGATGTGATCTTGACGAAGCAATTCGTCAAGACCATGACGTCGTAGGCTTCGCGGTATATCTCCTTTGATCTACAGAGTATGGCTGTCTCGACTCCATGTTCGACGAGTGTGTTAGTCTCCATGTAGTTCACGATATCTAGAGAGTTGGCAGTCTTCTCGGCCGGCCGCGTGAACTCGCAAAGCAGGACGCGATAGATCTTCTTGCGTATCCGATGAAAAGTATTAGTAGTAGTCTTTAGGTGATAGATTTTGAGACTTTACCTCGCCAGGGAGGTCACGGAAGCGGAAAGACGTGATTGGCATAATGTTCGTCATTGTGACTGTCCAGTGGCTTTGTAGGTGATGATCAAAAGTGCTCGAATACCCGAGAAGGGTTAAGAAATTGATGGTAGATGGTTGGTTGTCTGGCACACTGTGTGGTGAGGGTTGCAGCTCAAGTTGATGTGTGTACGTTTTGTTTTGTATGGAATGCGGAGACTCCGGGGAGTGGGGTAAGCAATTTCGCGCTAAACGCGCTGTCACATGATCTGATCCGTACCAACTCTCAACGTTCCACATACGCCCGGTGAGGATATCCCTGATATCTATGTGCTGAACCACTTACTCAGATCTGAGGTTTAAGGACAGAACTCGATTTATCCTTGTAGTCTAGATGTTTCATTACTAGTTTGCTAATCTGGTACTGCTTAACAAGAAGAGGCAACCGTGATTTGTCAAGCGTCCGTAGCCGTTGCAACTCGTGCAAATATGAACAGAGTAAATTGATAATTTTATTCAATTTCTACCGGATGACGCACGACGTTACCACGTAGTTGTTTGCAAAAGTAAGCAGATGTTTCCAGAAACACCTCTAACACGTAAAGGAAAGAATTTCGCTTTCTGTCAACCTCCAAGAGATCGCTGCACCGGGGTGACTTGTGATGTCATAGAGCAAAAAGAGAGCTTTTCTATTCCAGTCGAGAATGTCTACGAGTAAAGTATGTATACAAAAGTCATGGATGTATCTGCCGTAAATGTATTCGTGAGCCTACCTTGCCCTACAATCTGGCGACAACATAACCAACATTACATGTTGACTTCTTGATGGATACACCTTATTCTTTAGCCTTTACAGCTGATTCAAGTTGCGCCCTACCCGCATGCGAGCAGCTCTCCACATAGCCCTTTCACTTCATTCCAGGAAAATAAGTCCTGACGTATATACACCTTCTTCGCACGACCCCAGACAGAAATAAAACCCTTGTGAGAGCACCGTGTCCTTTTCCCAGCGACCAATGGAAAGTTCCGAGATCTAGAAACTCAATTAACCCTTCAACTCAGCTCACTCAGTCACACACCGTCCAACCAAGCCCCAATCCTTCGCTCCGTACACACACTGCATTCACGTTCCAGCTCTCCGCCAAGACGCAACACAGATACCCTGTGGAAGCCTAACCTTCCTACCCCATTGGCCGAGCCTAGCCAAGACTGCGAAAAAATAGCCCAGAAGCTTCTCTACACGCCACACCACCAACCGACCATCCTCTCACACTCCCAAATTACACGTGCCGTGCTGTATGCCGCTCTTACGGCTACGGAATCACATCCCCGCCGGGGTCCAGGGTGGACAAGTTTTTTTTGCATAACCCGGTTCGGCAGCGTAACCGAGGATGCGGCTACTGGGGGTTGAAAGGGCTGAAAGAGCTGAAATACGCCGGCTTGGAAACGCCAACGGTGGCGGCTGAGAGGCGTTCTTGCAGGTGGCTAATCGGGTATTCTCGCTTTAAGGCGAACGGGTCTTTGCTTTTGCTGGAATCTGGGGAAATATTGGAACAAGGGATGTAGGTGGTAGGGGCGTTGGAAGGGGGTTTGGTCTGGGCTGGGGGAGTATGGTGGTGTGATGGGATTTCAACATGGCGATATGCTGCAGGATATGTTGGGAACATGCAGGGCCTTTCCTATTGGAAAAAGATCGTAAAACATGGTTCATCAAGCAATGCAAGACGCGAATCTTGCAACAACGGCAGGGTCTTCCAGGCGCTCAAGGTGATTACCAATATCCCCCCGTCTATGACTCCTCCAATCGCCGTAATAGGGAGGTGTTGAGGGTGCTCACAATCCGGTTACTTGTGTGTCCAAGTCACGCTCCTAAGATCCACCACCTACTCCTGAATCAGACGTGTTCCCGAAACTTTCGGTGCCAGCTGCACAGCGCCCAACACTAGCAAAAAATCTTGGTCCGTCCGACTCACATGCACCTTAGCTTGAAGCTAGAACACCACGATCGTCTTCTTCGCGAAGGGCCTAGTTAGCCCATGAACCCCCGAAATCATTCACGTTGACGGTTAGTTTCTACACTGCTAGTCTTAGCTTTGTACGACTTGGCGAGACCAACGCTTCACCTTCCCAACTAGAGTCTCCACCGGGATCTTCCCTTGCAACAAATCCGGTGTGTACACGGCATGGCAATCTCAGGACCCTCTTCAGAGGCAAACCCGTATCGACTGTAGATCCATGGCCTTGTCGCCCGACCCAGTAACCTGGTGCCCTAACACGTGTGCTCCGATGCTATTGTTTCCAGTCCGCGACTGCAGATCCTAGGTAGGCAGCGCTCAGACCGCCCAGCTCGAGAAAAAGAAAACATCGAATGACGAGCATCGCAAACTCAGCTTCAAAACGTACGATATCTCATGGAATTCCCGTCTTGGCCAGTTCGCGGATCACGGCATACGGCTCGGTCGATAATCCGGGTCGATGCGACGCTGTCCCGGTCCCGCGATTTGGGTCACAATGTTGCCTGTGGTTTCGGTCCGATGTAAAGGGACTGAGTCGCTGTAGTCGGCGATGTCGATTTCCGCA